TACCTCGACCTCAGGTGTTTGAGCGTCACTCAAAGAACCTTCCTCTGACGTGTGAAACGTTATGAATGATGATGTAGAATGTACGTTAGTGTGGAACGTTACGAGTGTGAAACGTTAGTGTGACCTGGTTTGTTCATGTTGCACACTCCAAGACTCTCCCAAAGCATGCTGAGGACTCAGCCTGACTCGGCCTGCAGTCTTTGCGACAAACGCTGTGAATCAAGAACGAGTGACACGCTGTGAAAAGAAAATATACAAATCAGTATTTTTGCATGCTTGCCATCGCTAGTAGGTTGGAGGCCATCGCTAGCACCAAACACCTGATGTGTCGGTCTGTGCCCTGAATGCGTGTCTATGTGTGGGCTCGCCTTTTCTCCTCCTCCGCTTCCGGCTCCGTCATGTTGCATATTGGAAATGCTTGAGCACCAAACCAGTCACGCAAGCAGATTGAACGCGTCAAAACGGGATCAAGCGAGTCAAGTCAAGTGCAATGTTTCAAAGCAGCAATCTTCCTTCCTGGTAGTGACATCAGTGTGACTCAGCTACAGACATGGCTCTGCTGAACGGTAGACTGTGGCATCACCTTTCATGTCCTGAAAGCATCTTCCCAACATTTCTCACACCCATTCACACACCAAAGCTTCTCCTTGAGGATTTTGCAAATAGACCAAGCTCTAGGCTTGACAAATGTTGGAACTGCATCAGACCGTATTGGTATGATGTGCAAATTAAACGGAATAATATGCATCTACTACAATCTACTACAGTATGCATCTCGAGTGTCTCTGTGGGGGAAAGGGCATCGCTACTAGGAGCAAGGACGCTACTAGGGGCTCCTGGCCGTACTACTAGAACAAGAAGCTACTAGGGCCTAAGGGCTCCTGGCATCGCTTCTAGGAGCAAGGACGCTACTAGAGTTTCCCACCTTGGTGAAGAGCCCCGGCTGCGACTGAAAACTTCTTGTGTAACCTCAGCTTTCAGATGCATCTCAGATGAGGCAAGAGAGACGTACACACACAAGAGTGCATCGCTACTAGTAACAAGTGCATCGCTTCTAGTAACAGGTGCCTTACTAGTAGTAACAAGAAGCTACTAGTAACAGGTGCCTTACTAGTAGTAACACTGTGAACTCAGCAAGTCCAGGGCTCAAACCCGATACTTGGATTGTCTGGTCAGTCGGTACGTTTAGAGCATGGAAGGTCAGATTCACCTTCGGAAGAGTCACCTGAAGCAAGCGGCTTTTTGGATAGGTGTGACAGTCACAAAAACAGGACTCAGGCTGACTTAGGTGAAGATAATAAATGCATATAAAAGCAAACCCCAACATATCTCATATCCAAACCTGGCGGTGTGTCTGTCGGTCTGTCTACAGCGCCTGCTTTCGAGTTTCGCTGTCTAGCAAACGAATGAGGAAAGTGGTTGATGTCCCAGACCTTTGGACGAAGCCAAGTCTCATCGAGAAGCGTTTTTGTTTCTTGTTCCATATGTTTGTTCGATGAGATCATCAAAATGATTCCAAATCTGGAGCACCTCTGATTTTAACAGATTGGATCTCGAGTTCGAAGTGACATCAATGTGGCATGAACTTTGGGCACGACATCATGCTGATATGGGCCAGGTGCTTGTCGGTGGCTGCCTCGGGAGGCGTCATTCACACCATTAAGCCGAATCTTCCAATCCGTATCCACAGGATTCCACAGGAACCTAGTAGCGTCCTTGCTCCTAGTAGCGAGGCGATGCCCTTTGTTACTACTAGCTTCTTGTTACTAGTAAGGCCAGGAGCTACTAGTAGCTTCTTGCTCCTAGGCTCCCCTGCCCCATTCTCGGGATTTCGCGCTTCGTATTGCGAGTCGTGCTTGGTAACTGACGCAGCGTGGCTTGGTGTCGCAAGCAAGTCTCAGCAAGTCTCGGCTTGAAACTGGCCTATCTCAAGCTGCAAGTCTCGGCCGTTGTACCTGCCAACCTGGAAGCGATCGTCGGCTATTTAGTGTCTTCAAACATGCAAAAAGTAGGAACGCAGTCAAGTACAGAATCAGCCGGAGGCCATCGCTCTTAAGTTGGAGGCCATCGCAAGTAGGTTGGAGGCCATCGCTAGTAGGTCGGAGGCCATCGCTACTAGGTTGGAGGCCATCGCTCTTAAGTTGGAGGCCATCGCTAGTAGGTTGGAGGAATCAACAGAATCAGTCAAGTACATGTCCTACATTCGGACACGTGCCTGGTCAAAAACTAGCGTTCTTTCATCACCCAGATCTGGTCCTGCGGCTTATTGCGGCTTCCACGAGCAACATGGAATGAACCAGCTTGATGGACCATGTGAATCAACTCATCTGACTTCCAATGCCCACCCAGGTTACCACATGTGTTGTGTCCTGCACCACCCAGGTTACTATTTTCCACCTGGTTTAGGTGCAGCTTCTGAGGGCCATTGCACCTCAAGCAAGAATCATCATAAATCATCACAAGGGTCTTACCCCATGACATTAAAGAAGGAGAAAGAAAAAGAATAAACACAAATTAAGAAAAGGAGAAAGGAGAAAAACCAACAGATAGTAACAAGAAGCTACTAGGAGCTCCTGGCATTACTGCTAGTAGCAAATAGCTACTAGTAACAAGACACCTTACTACTAGTAACAAGTTGTACATTGATTCATTATTGGTGCCGTGTTGGTCTCCGACTCCGAAGCTGCCAAGGTGAAGGCCGCGAACAGGAGGAGCTGGAGAAGCCCGACGACAAAATTGAACAAAATAAGTTGAGCACGCTGAATTCAAAGCACTTGTTACTAGTAGCGATGCACTTGTTCCTAGTAGCTTCTTGTTA